ATATATTCCACCACATATTTTGGATTGCTATTTCATCACGGGTAGTTCAGGACCTTGTCTATCTATACTCAAATTATTTTTTTGGTATACCAAGGTTAAAAGATACTTTTATTCTAAGATAAACACATTTTTTGTCTGGATTGCTTGAGATTGCTTCTGGCTGTTGATTTGTCAGTACATATCTGATAACTAAACAAAGCCAGGGATTTTTATATGTATACTGTAGTATATGATCCCTAGTTTAGGTTGCCTCATAAATTATCCTTCATTGCATTGTTGATTTGACAACATTCGTCTTTTGTAATTTCAGTTTTATGCTTATATGAAAAACGAACCAAGTACTTATTTGAATTTTAATGGGTATTTTTGTTGTGATAAAGTTTAGGTCTACACCTCACCAAATGAAAATTTAAATCAAATAAGGAGCCGTCTTTGAACCCCCAACTCCTTGGATATATCGCGATTTCTATTCAAATTGGACTCAATGCAGCTACCAAATGTTACCTGTTCCATTTGCCCGTGAAATGGACCAGTCTATGAAAACATATCAGAAAATCATATATTGAAACTTAGGAACTTATTGAAAACTTCCATCATGTTGTATATGGCCCTTCAATGACGGACTATATTTTTTTATATTACATTTTTTTTACATCAATACGTAGATTTGCACAATTTCCACAATCTGGAACAAACTATCAGAATGGACTTTCACAAATTTCAATTATTGAAAAATCACATGTTTGTTAAAATATAAGGGTTGAATCTTGCATGGAGTGATTAATTGAGTTGGTTTTGACACGTAACCGACTCAATTTATCACCCCATGAAATAGGCCAAAGCAAGATTCAATCCTTAAATTACATCACGCTTGACAAGGCAGATGAATGGGTTACTCAACTAATTTTGTCGTTTATTGCAATTTAATGGTAAGATTTAAAACAAAATAAAGACATCAATTGTGTAGTTACGTAAATAACATCCTGTATATTGCAAAAACATACCAAAACAATACCTTACATGCATTCTGCTATCGCTTCATCTGAACTTGAAACTGAAAATCTACGCATTGAATAAAAAGTACCATTCTGATAATATATTTTACATGTGAATATAAATGTTTTTATTAAATGGATAATTACTGATATTTCACTGGTGAAAATGTTATAAATCTTATGTATTTCTTAAAGGTCATGTAAGATATTTTATAATGAAATAAGATATCCCTTAAAAATATCATAAAGAAGATACAAAATACTTATTTTATTATCATGAATCACAGGATTGACAAAAATGCTTAGGTTGGCTATGCACCAGTTCATGCCTAGTATTTTGGGGAGATGTATTTTTATTGGGAAAATACGTAATTTTCCTTTGAAGAAGCTTTATCGCAATATGTGTTACTCTGATATTACAGAAAAGTGCGTCATGACCAGAGATTGGATTATATATGAGTCAAATTCTAGAGAGCGTTAACTTTGTCAGGAAACTGATAAAACATTTTCGCCGAATACTTGATAGATTTTACGGTAAAGTGGGTTTGTTTTCGTAATGTAAAGCATTTTTATCCAATGTGTGATTTTGATAAGAAGTCAAGCTACAATAGAATAACAGCGTCACGTTTAATAGGTTTAAGTGGGGAGATTAGGGCAGCGATAAAATGATTAACTGGGATATATACATTCAAGCCGACTAACATGTTTGTACATAGCCTACATAAAGTCATTATTCCCAAAAATGAATTTTGCAAGGATTACATTTTGATGTATGTACATGTAACGTATTCCAAAAATTAGACGAAGCAACAGTAACGAATTTTTGATTGTTTGTTTGTTTGTTTGTTTGTTTGTTTGTTTTTGTTTTCAAGATGATGTAACAAATGATTAGGAAGGAAATGAGTTTAGTCAGTACACACCCATCAAACAACCGCATTAATTAATTAATCGCATTAGGAACCCAGTTATATATATATATATATAATTTTTGTATCATTACTTTAAGTAACACATCTAGTCTCATTGTATACTGGTATACAATAACATCTTCCTAAATGTGCAAAGAGATATTGTAAAATACATTTGTATTTCATATAAACATTTTAAAACTAATCAATCTTAACCCTTTCACCACTGTAGATCATAATGGACTCATCCAGATCAATGCATTGGAGAGTCTACTAAAATTGCATAGGGGTGGAAGTTTTAATGATTGATTACTTCTTCCTTGTTAAGATTCTAAATTTTATTACTTGTGTCATATTTCAAAATATATCAAAATGAATATTAATTGTTTTTATATTAAAACATACCACAATAGTTTCATAAAACAGCGAAGAGTGTCAAAATAAGAAAAACAACAACAAAAACTTCGTAACAGCAAATCAACACTACATATCTTTCAAAATAGAACATTAACGGGTATAAAAAACTTAAATGAATTATGCAAAAAGTCAAAGAAAATAATTGCTGTATTGGTAATTTTATTCTTAACATAGAAAATAAACATTTACAAATGATATCATAACATTTCGAAATCATTTAAATAATCGATGTTAACAGAAGATACCTATAAAAATATATCAGATATAAATGGGGTTTTTAATATATATTAGAATGCACTATTTGAATAAGTAAGGTTTCCTTGTATTTAGTGTTGCGGTTTTATGATAATGATAACGTTGATTAAGAAAGAAAAAACTACAATGAAAACGAAGACGTACGTAACACACACATCTTTATATATACAGTTCATTTATCTTTCACCAATTATGAAACAAGTTGTTAAAACTTATATTGATCACTTTTGTTGGCCCGGGTGTTGATGCGTTGGGGTCTGTATGTGGGAGAAACTGGAGTACCCTGAGAAACCCCACTTGGTTGGACAGGTGACCCCATACCTTTTCAGGTCTTATCAGGGAATCGAACCCCGAACACATTTGGGAAAGCCGAGTGCGTTATTCCCTACGCCACCCGACCACCTATAACTGATTTATCCTGAAACTTTATCATGAACTATTCCAACCTTTGAATTTGATCGAAGAGTTAAAATGTGTCTTCGGGGGTGAATGAGTTAAATTTTGGTAATGGTATAGTAAGCCAAAATGAAGTACACTGCATGATAAAGCTGTATTGTCTGGACACGGGTTATACGCATTTCTCAATCTTCAATATGTTCAACAATTTTAACCCAGTATATGTACTTATATAAAAGACAACACTAGATGCCAGCTCGATTTCAAGTGGGCCCTTCCAACCATGGACATTGTGACCTGAGGGAGCACATATTGACAGTACGGGTCAACACCATTGGTGGTCTAGTACACTACATGTATAACTATAGTCTACACGCTGTGCAGTAAACATAAATATTATACCTCAGCTTTATAACCGCGTGTCTGATTGGATGACACTGGTCACAATACAATAATACAATACAATACAATACAATACAATAAAATAATTTTGAATCAGTTTCATATGTCATTATCACATTACAATAATAGTATATTCGTATGTTCCATTTCGTTTATATGTTCATAAAAATAATGACATCCAGCCATGCCTGGCTTATGAGACAGTATAAGTACATATATCTATATTTAAATTTCATTGTATTAAACATCATTTATATTTACACATGACGGGGCATAAAACATCATGTGACCCTCACGCACTCAAGTTTCCCTAATCGTATTTCCCTTATTCGGAACCTCTCTGGAAAGATCTGCCACTACAACCTTATTCCGAATGAAGGAAGCAGACGACAGCAATGGTGCGTCATTTTGATCACCTTTACTGCTGTTATTGGGGGTTTTATTCTTCGGCATAATAAACTATTTGTTGCCCTTACAGTAGGGAAACACGATTATTTGTTTCTCCGAGGTTAATCGTGTTTCAATAGGGTAGTAAACGTATAGTCTACATTCATCTGTAGCATTGCATCAGGCGCGATAAATCGTATTAAAAGTTGTCATTTGCAAACACGATTGTGCGAAGTGGATGTGTCCGGCCATAAAATGACGAGGTTGTATCCGGGACGTCACATCAAGTCTTCCTTTAGTAATATCTCTTCTGGGTTGGCTCGTACTAAGATTCTTAATTCCATATTTCCTCATTTTCAAGTAGTCCTGACCGTCCTTAAGACAATACCAGTGTTCATTAACAACTTTTCTCGAATAACGGCACATTAGACCAAAATGTTTCACAATTGAATGTATGGCCTGCTTTAGAGAGTTTTAAATAACTTAAACCCTTTATTATTTCTCGGTATAAGTAGTCTAGTGGTAACGGATGAACATACAGGAAAAGTGTGTGCAAGGTAACGAATAACATGGCACGGGATATGAGGAACATATGATCAGTAGTAGCGTTTGGAATGTGAGCATTCTATCACAACAACTGTCTGCATAGGGAAAGATCATCCACGTAATTATCGAAGAGTACTAAAACGTAATTTATAACAATTAGATATGAAATATAAAATATAAAAATACAAAGCACTAGTTAGGCCCAAACTTGAATACTGCTCTTCCATTTGGGATCCACACAACACAAACCAAATTAAACAAATAGAAAAAACACAACGAAGAGCAGCACGCTACGTACAAAACAGATACCACAACACTAGTTCCGTAACAGACATGATCCACACACTTCAATGGCCAACACTACAAACACGACGCTTATACACTAGAATTATCCTTTTTTACAAAATTATACACAGAATCGTAGCTTTAAACCCAACACATATACTCACACCTGTAGACCCCCGCACCAGACAGGTACACCCGTACGCATACAAATACATATCTGCTACAAAGGACACCTACAAATACTCATTCTTCCCACACACAGTAACACAATGGAATCTCCTCCCCTTAGCAGCAGTCCAATGCACAACACTAGAGGACTTCAAGGCACACTTACCCTACACAGCCCTTGAAGCCCTCATCACACACTAGTACATACACCAGATTTTAACTTTTTATCTATACCTTGCACAAAAGAAATCACAAAAAAAAATAACCCCCCACCCCTAATCACTATAAATAACCCCTTCACGCCTCTACAATAGGACCCCCGATGGCATAATCATCAAACTGATGGAGCCCTCGTATATAAAGAAGAAGAAAGAAGAAGAAACTAATCACAGGAGCGATATTCTGAGTATATTTTTCGCTTACATAATACACATATGTATCACGTGTTACACAAAAATGCACTATCGTCATTATCTAAATAACGAAACGTGATGATTCGTCTCAGTCACCATCTACTTAAATGTAATTATCCTCCGCCATCTTGTATGTTCTATCCAATTTCAATGTTCGGGCATGCCCGACTTGTATATCCAAGCACTTGGATATCGTGACACAATTTAGCAAGGTTTCCTGGCTGCCAAAAGAACGAAAGCAGACGTGCTACTAGAAGAAATAACAAAAGGCAGAGCATTGCAACTCCAAGGCAAATAGATAGAGTGGTGAGGCCTTCTGCAAATTCCCGTCTTCTTTGTTTCTTCTTGTAGTTTGTCTTCGACTGTTCTCCATAAGCCTAACAAAAAACAACATTGTTACATTTGACAGAGTTATAATCATACATACAGTAAACGTTAAAGCGGTAATATTATTTCACAATTTGCACGCTTTAAATTTAGCCCTAAATTATGATTGAGCTCACTGAAGTTTCTACAAATTGTTTTCAAATCATGAATGCGCTAATATATTAAAAGTCGACAATATACTTATTTTCAAGAGCGCTGAAAGAAGTTCGTTTACAGTATAGATTTCAAAAATTTGTAGAGGGGATGTGAATTTTAATCAATATTTATAAAAGGAAAAAAATACGCCTGCGTGGTATATGTTTTTTACATAATTTGAAACATCTAGTTAATTAAAAAATAAGTGTCAAGGTACCTCTTTTGCTTTCTTGTACGCAAACCAACCCAGTGGCAAGAACAAAATGACGGCAGCAATATGTCGATATTGGGGAAAACTCGGCGTATTAGAAACTACCTCCGAACCCTCCGATTCGTCCACAGCGTATGATGCCTCTAGTGGATTTACTTGCAAGAAAGGAGATTTACTAGAGACGTGTTCCTCAGTCTGATTGGTTTGACTTTCGTCTTTGTTAGAACTAAACAACGAATCGTCCGTCCTATAAGTTCCTCCTTGATAAGGCTCTTTGTCGAGAAATGGCGTCTTTAGCGTCTCTTCCGGGACATTATCTTCGGGGGTGTTGTTGATTGCAATATCACCGTTTTGCCGGGAATTTGATCTACTTCCAGCATATGGTACCGAATTGGATTCAACTGTCGGCTGGTCTTGAATCTCGTCTATGTCCGTTTCCAGATAACCACGATTTGTACCCACTTCAGGCATTTTTAAATCCTTAAATCTGAAATAGTATGCAATGAAAGAGTGTCATTAAGAAATATTTTAAAATTTCTCATTTACATACGGAAAAATATGGAGAAATGACTTTGTATGCAACGGTAACGACAGCAAATGTTTGAAAGAAAATGTATGTAGCATAATATTTTAAAAATAATGACGTCATCTACAAATATTTCAAACTAATCATTATCAAAGTGAGGGTTATTTTAACGATCCTATATATTAACTAAATCAGGCATATGCGAGTTACTTCCCCTAGCACTCCACACGGAATTAAACAATGGTCATCGCTTTTCCAGTACCGATGTATCACTATCCCTCTTTCCCTCTACATTCTAAGGTGCCACGCAGCTGAAATCATTGACCATATTATGCTACATAACATTGAAGATAAACTTAATATTACAATTTACATCTCAATTTTTAACATTGTCTGTTGCGTTTTATTTGATAAATATCGATATGATCAGACTCCGTATGGAGTCCTTCATCGTACCAAGTATATTGAAGGTATTTATATATACAGGTATTTTACTCAAATACAACAAAAACAACTTAGAAAATGTGGTACATATTGAATATATGGTGGGGGTTTTTGAGAAGCAATACAAATCTCCCTTTAATTCGACGAATAAGGCTATTCAGTGAAATCAACATCAAATTCCTATTACTATTGTGAGCATCTACATCCGGACAGACAAGATATTTAACACAAAATCCCGTAACCAACAGATCATTAATTAATATCCATGAGTCAGCATACTTGAGTTAATGCGCGAAACCATTGCAGCATCACCATCCTTCCAGACTAAAATGTCTGATACAGTGAGACCATCTGTGTCTACTATCCGGTATTGTATAAGGGTAAAGACGTTTTCCCATTTGTTCATATTTATCCTTAGCTCCCATTGTTCTGTGTTGAACCAATAACAGTCCTAAACAAAGGGAAAACCATCACGAACTCCCCCTCCCCGGAAGAGAGTGTATTACCTACCTTCATAAGGCAAGCCAACCTACATGTAATACGGAGGATTGTCAATCCTTATTCAATAAAATTGTGTTCGAAATCTTATTCATTATATAAGATATATATATATAGTATATGTTTTTATTACATACTTACTAATAAATATGGTTTTGTTTTTATATGCGATACGACACAATAGCTCTAACCCATTTCAGCCCTCGCCGTATCACACCTCAAAACCCGTATCAGCCCTCTCTGTATCATACCCCAAAATCCGTATCAGCCCTCTCTGTATCATACCCCAAAACCCGTATCAGCCCTCTCTGTATCACACCCCGAAACCCGTATCAGTCCTCGCCGTACCACACCCCAAAACCCGTATCAGCCCTCGCCCTAGCACACCCCAAAACCCGTATCAGCCCTCTCTGCATCACACCCCAAAACCCGTATCTTTCAAAAGAAAATCATATCGCAAGATAGTAGATCTATCCGTATATTATTAGTAAGTATGTAATAAACAGAATAAAACATGCCTTTTTCCATATCACACCAGGTACATGTATCTACCCTCGAAGGCCTTCGGGCTGATATTGGAGTCTCGGGTTAATACTGGGTGTGATATCGGAAAAGGTATTATTATTCTCCATATAAATTATATTTGTAAGACAGTCTGCATAAGCTTTATGATATAACTGTAATAATATATCTATATGGGATATATCTAATGAACGTTAAATATCTTGTATAATGTAGAAGATATTTCATAAACCAAACGGGATGTCTTATGATATCAAAAATGATATTCCACGTGAATGACAATTAAACAAATATTGTAAAATGATTGCTGCAAACGGAACGCGACTAATTATCTCAAAACAGTTACACCACGATATTAGATTAAACCTGTCTAACTCCGTGGTTACCTGTACACCAACATAACTATGTACCTGTCTATCGATACTCCCAGGTTATAAATTAGACAGGTAGTGTTAAACAAAACCAGTGTTAATCAGGGGGCGGATACAGGATTTTCGTAAGGGGAGACAGCCACAACAATTTTGTAAATAAATCGGAACGTGGAGACAACCCCTTCCCCCTCCTGCACGAACGCGCCAGTTCAATTCATTCTCCCTCTCAGGTTAGCCCCCTCACACAAACGATTTACTGTAAATTGTATCAATCTAAAATCTAACAACAATGCTTTGCTCTGTATTTTCCGGCAATTAGTCACACGACATGTAACAGTACTTAGATTTCCGGAGTCGTTTTTGCAGTGTTTATATGTACATAAAAAATGTCATGTAGAATATCCTATCTCTATCATATATACATATTTCAGATATGTGCATAAAGATTTCCGACCTATGGTAGATATACCCCTACTTGAATCAGATTCAGTATTCAATGATGATATAGATAATGTAGATTCATTATTCCTGAATGAATAGCATATATAATTCAGGAAAAAGAAATAATGACTTTTTGACGACATCTGCCACGCTAACATTTCTTATACACACATGATAATTGTCAACATCTTACTACTGAACTAGGAAAGGTTTGTTGAATAAAACGTTAATGCTGTTTCTTATATGCAGAATTACTTTCAGGTAAAGCAGGACCTGTATAGTTTTCCCCCTACTCCGCATAATTAATGTACAATCTGCGCCAAGAAAGTCGAAAAAGCTTTGCCAAATTAAAGTCAAGTATTACAACTCACCTGCTCACCTCTTCTGTGCAGACACTTTACAGCGCAGACGTCCTTCACATACAGCGCGTGCCTGTATACACATGAAAATAAACAGTCTGCATCCTAATTGTAAAGCGCAGATATATAGATGCCTTTTATATATTTTTTCGTTTTAAAATAACCTAGAATTTAATGTACTATGAAGAGCATAAGAATTTTTGTTTTTAGTGTAAGCATCATATAAATTTTGAGTATTATGAATGAATAATCATTATCGATAGGAATATACATATATACGTGTGTTTAGCAGAGGTACAGTTGGGGTAAATGCCTATATTCGAATTTGTCATTATTTACACACATGCACAAGTATTTTTATAAGTATATGTGTACAATAAATGCAGGATTTAAACAGTTTCTCAAGGTATGATGATTACTACAAAAAACATTTCTGATAATAAATATCCATTTAATGTTGTCTGGGTTCATGGCTGTCTATATGATAACCCTAATTCCCTCTAAAGCTAATGTGAACGCGATGCATCATGGCCAGGTTTTCCCGCAGCTCACCATCAACGTTAACGCTCTTAAGACATTCCGGCCACTTCATAACAGCGTCATAATACCGGAAAATCCTGTATGAAAGCGTAAAATCATGATAATGAATCACACTCTATACATATGTACAGGGCTTCACACATTTCTTCACGTTTTAAGTTCAAACCCGAAGAAAATCTGATAATTAATACCTGGTAGGTTACCGACGCATATTGCCGTCACGTTCCCGTCCTCGGAAAATGCAAGCAAGGTTTCCATCAAGTTTCCGTAGACGTATTCTTGCGGAACTTCCATTTCATTTTCACATAAGGATTTTGTTTATTTGAAAATTCAACGTCAGGTTGCCCTTGAAATAGTGGAGGACACGGGAAATGTTTCATTTGACCTTGAGTTGCGTCTCTCGTTTCATTTATCGCCTCTCCGGTCTCGTACAGACAACAAAGCTTTCCCCGAGTAACTGAAAAAGATAGCTATGAGTAAATTAAGAATGCCTGTCCCACTCCAAATAAAAATAAAACGCTATTGGGAACTATCCCGCTGTGGTTTTTAGTACATTCAGTTACCTCCCCTAGGTTTGTTTCGATAAAACTGCAGCGCGACTGAGCTAGGGGTACGACATAGTAGCTCTGGGCCTACTTGTATAAAACATCTAAACTCTTGAGATTTCCTCAAGTCTAAGATTTCCCATAGACAATATATTGCTTGAGATGTTTTATAAAAGTGGGCCCTGATGAATAGAGCGACAGTATAATTTGTGAACCTGTTGTGGGTTTTTACACTCAAAATTCTATTGTTAAATATTTTTTTGTTGATTGTATTTTTTTCTTCAAAGTTACCGTGCCTTAATCTGTCGGAAAAACTAGGGTGAAGAGTTAGGTAATAAAAATTTCATAAATATTATAAGCATATTGGTATGAAAAGATTTAAGATTCCAATGTCTCATACATTGTATATTTGACAAGTATAAGCGTGGGAAGCCTTCCCCCGAGTCACACTAATATAACAACAAGCATGTGACGTGTTGTTATCTAATTTGAAGTAAAAGTTCTGGAGATCCAAATATAAATTTATAAAATTCGTTTGGGGTCAGAGGTTATATTTACGTGTATCACAAGTTCAGAGGCAATATTTTACACAATAAACGTGTTTTCTTCTTAATTCATACAAATCTATTACGTCACCAGATTTGCTAAACGATATGCGTGACATTATTTGAACCGTCGAATTATTCACGGCATGTTAGAAAATGAAATTTAATTCCTTTTTGATTTTTATAATGTTTACACATTTCATACCCTGAGTGTGGTATTAACGGAAAGTTAATAAATTTTGCTATATATATATATATAAAAAAAAATGCCAGTTTTATCTTGCTGATAAGAAAAAAGTGCGAAGGTTATATAATTACATGTAGTACAATTGCAAAGGTATGGTTTCCATTTCAAAAATGATTTCCTATGCCAAATGATAGTTTCTGGCAGCTGTAGTGGGATCGTTAATGCTGGATTATTTTGTCTTTACTTATATGTGACATATAATAAGATTAATTTTCACATCGACCGATACTTATAGGCTGACGTGCTACTTTGCCGGATGCTGCCCGACCGGAAATGTTTACTTCTTCACCTCGCCGAACAGTTTGTTTAGAAACCTTTCGGTTTGTATGTATTTTAGGTGGAATCAATGTGGCTTTGTGTGAATGAATGAGTGATGTTCGTTATTAAGGGTTATTGAAAGGGACTATTAAAACAAATGGGATTAAAATGTGTTTTTTGATTGGTGCCATTCCTAAGACATCACACACACCCAACATCACCAACCCACATACACACATGCGCTCTTCCATCCAGGTCAGCACGAGTGATTGATATAAGTTTAAATTTGTTTACAACTATTGTTAAAGTGTATAACACGTCAGATTTGAGTGAGAGTTATCTTCCCTGTCACACACAGTCGGTCAACGGGTATGTCTTATCGTATGACATTGGCATAGGCCATTATGTCAATTTATGGACTGTTTAGTCACTCAAAAATAATAGGGACATCATCTATATACTTCACAAACGGGCCAGTAGCCCGATTTATCGGTTTATGAAAATATTCGACCTCATGACTTGTTTAACAGCTTTGGTCAAAACGATCACTAGAAAGAATCACTTTGCCGAATTTTGCCCATATTAGTGTCCTATGTTTCGTCAAAAAAAGATCGCTTGGTAGATTTCGTCAGACATGGGGCTGAATTTTGTCTTATGAGACCGTTTAATATACGTTTGGAGTCTGGACAAGGTGTTCACGGATCGCGTTGGACCGATGGTTGAGTTACATAGTAAAAATAATAAGGTGTGGGGCCGATGGGGTGTGAGGTTTTCAAAGTGACCTTTTGTTTTGGTGTTGTTATACAATTTGAAAGTAAAAATCTGGAGATTGAAACGTGGTCCAAATACAAATTTATTAAAATAACTTTCTCTATGTCTGTGGGGGATTTCTGGAGTATTCCAACCACTCTCGCTCACCTAAAATCCAAGGCCCAAATTATTACACGTCTTATACGCTTTTGCCAATTGCATAACTCTAATAATGTTAAAATGCTACTGTTAGCTTTTAATTTATAATTATGTACATATATGTAATACTTAAACAGTCTAGAGTGATCGGGGAAGAGTTAGTGTCTCGTAAGTCTAATATAGTAGACTGGATGTAAGGTTGGGTGACAGACATATTTTAGAGATTGTAATACTTGTACCTTTTACAGGTGTGTTCTCCTTTCTCCCACTTTTTTAAAAACACATAGAGGCAGTAATGTTGTGATAGCAGTTATAGTCTGTTTCATATATATTTTGCCTGTGTTCTCCCACATTACCTGTATCATATATACAGTACTGTCCTATACATATAGCTTTGATATAGTATCTTTTCATCATTTTTAGCCATATTTTCATATCATATACCATTTTCATCAGCTAGATCTATACAAAACAGTTACCTGAAATTCACAAATATTATATATATGTATAGATGATAATGCTTTGATTAATTAAATTTTAATTTTAATAGATTTAATTTAGGGTGAAGCCAATTCATATTGATGCATTATTTACAGAGAATCTTTTTTACCAATAAATGCGTCTTCGGCGTGATTATTAATAACTTAGTATCACTCATTAGATTATTTTTATTTTCCCCTAAAACATAATTATTAGCTATGTTTCTTCTTGATAACCCATATTTTAACCTGAAAATATTTTTAATTTCTTATTACATGTACTTAGTCCTTGTTGCAATAATGCAATTACCATTGAATGGAAAAGGTAATAATCATTATAAATTTAAGGCATGCTATATAGGAAGTCTGTAAGTAAATGAGCATTTTGCTGACTTTGGAATATAAGGGCCTGTCAAACAAGTCATTAGGGGAAGTAACTCGACAGCTGACAAAACATACTTGCGCCCGACAGAGGCGGAATACGAAACCTGGATATGGCTTGGGTCCACTGATATTTCTAGTTGATAATAATGAATCTTAACACCTGATGATTTTGGGTCCATCAACTGACCACTTTACTGGTGAGCATTGAGTCGACAATTAATTATACAAGTATATAAGCTTATTAAGGGACATATAAGCTGACAGTTTGCAAAGCGATTAATCACTATTAATAGAAATTCATTCTCTGTCCGGTAATAAAAAAGTGAATACATTTCATAACCTTAATGTTCGTCACTTAATTGATGCTGTGGTGATTAAACAAGTGATATTGTCCAAGCTGTATGTTTTGTAAGTATAAAAGGAAGTTGAGGGTCTCACATACTCCCCATCAACCACCAACATGGCAAATGCACAAATTCAAGTGACGTTTCTTCGTAACAAGTTTGGAAGACAGAACATCGCGTACAACGGATATATTTACTGTGTTAACAGAGGTGAGCGTGTATATTGGAGATGTATCATCCCCAACTGTCCAGCTACCCTTAGTACCCGAAACAACACCCCTACTGGAAACGGCCGCCATCCCACATCTACAGCAGCATCCGCGTCTTCCAGGAAATACAAGCCAGCAACGAGATAACGTGCATCCAACACGCAGCAGGAGGACAACTCAGACCAAGAGCAAAACGCCACTGTAACTGTCTATACTGATTACAATTGTTATAAATTGCTTGCTAAATTTAGTTATATTTTATGAAAAATATATATAACATACATGTAAATGTATAATAAAAATGTATAAAATTGATTTAATATAAAATTAATAAAAGCTGGTTTTCAATTAATGTATTTTGATGTGTTTTTATTAAGTAATAACTGGAATCTTGTATATATTTATTCATAATTCCAGTATATATTACAAAAATCAGGATATATATTTGTTAAATATTCCTATAACTAACACAGTATTTCCTATTGGTGAACAGGTAAATACAGGTAAATAATCTACCTGTACTATACCAGAACTGACTATAATGACACCTATTGTTTTCCAATGTTTATATAATTCCTTTGATCAGAAAAAAGTGGGAGAAAGGAGAACAAACCCTTTTACACGTGACACTATAATAAACTAATTTGAATTCGATATTACAAGCATAATCATGTCGTAAGTACATTTACACAATAGCAGTTAAGTAATTAGCTTGAGTGACATCGGTCATTCATAGCAATCCGCCTTTCAGAGCCAGGCCCTACCCGA